TCCCTTGGGCTGGGTCAGAGTCCTGCTCCCTAGGAATTGCAAAAGGGCCTGCAGAGAACGTGGTCTTCCGTTTGGCACTTGGTCTGGAAAATGGGACACAGCGTGGGTCACTAGGAGGGGGATGGAGATGTGCTGGCACAGCCCTGGACAGCTGATGAATTCTGCACTGTGCTCCTCTGCACAGCACGGAGATGTCTGGCAGCACACACAACCACTTTTTGTACCTGGACACTTATTTTTGACAGCACGGACAAAAACATCTCAAAAATATACTTGTCCTTTTGCATAAGAGTTAGAGGAGCAGTTACCCTCAATGGGAAATTTTTCAACAGGATAAATCAATTCTAACTGAAGCACTGGGTACCAAAACTCTGACAGTATCCATTAGAGAAGGAAAAAATAGTGTTTCAAGCTTAATGCAGTGGCCTGAGCCTCAGGTTTGCCTCCCAGCTCTGTCACGGATGCCGCGTACAATCTTGAAAACTCATTTCATATTACACATCTATTCCGCTGTGAGGCCCACTCTAAGTCCTCTGGCACACAGGCTGTCTCCTGGTGAATATTTATCAAGAATAATAGGGCACAATCCCTCGATTGAGACCTGGAATAATAACCACACTCTAAGTAAATGAACAAACAAATCGCACTTTTGTCACGGATAAAATAGTCCCAAAGTGACAGCTTTTTCATAAAAGCTTATTAACTTTAGTAAAATATCATCTGTAAATCATCTGAGGCTACTTCTATGTCATTCTCTTTGCAAGTACACAGTCCAGGAAACAACCAAGTAGCGCAATGGCACCTCCTTTTGCACTGCAATTTAAATAAGTCTGTTGCCAAATCTACTGCCTCCAAGTGGGGAGTGAGAATATTTTCAAGTTCATTTTAATCATAATACAAATCTGCCACTACTTCTGTAATTTAGGACTGTTCCCAGGATTGTAATATCATTAATAATTTTTCCTAAAGTGACATGCCATGACATTTTAAAGCTAAGAGAAGGATGTCATTCTGGTGCTACCCTTAATGTTTCATGTTATCTTTTTTGCATGCTTGTTTGGTTATAACAACACACTGATAGGAGACAGTTTTAAAAGACTATGGCGTCCTCACAGGCTAAAGGAATTCTAGAAATGTCAAATGTCAAGCTACAATTTGTCAAAAAAGTCAGTATTCCCTTGTACATGCAAGTTAGACACGAAAGCAAATTGTTCTCAAATTCCATGCAGAAGCAGTGGGATGTTTTTATTTATTGCAACCACAACTGGTTGTTTTCTCTCTATTGTGCCAGGCAGATGAATTAGCTAATTGTCAGAGCACCAGGGGCACACTGCTAAATACACATGTGCATGCCACTAAATTAAAGGAAATTACTACACTGAATTCTTCCCCATCCGCTCCACATGTTACTTACGCACAGGCTACACCCACCATCAAAGCAGATAAATACCTGTGATTTTGCTTTGGGAACTACAACAGGATTGCTTTCTTAGAATATTATCTCAGGCTAATGGATTGAGAGTTTTAAAACATGACTAGGTGCTTCTACGAGTAAAATCAGCAGCAACAACAGTTATCACAGCATATAAAACAGTCACAAGGCAATGTTAATTTTCATGCTTCAGCTGGGAATGCAGAATAATCTCTGCTGTGGAATAAACTCCACCATTGCTTGGTGTGACAACTCTGGCAGTGGTGCTAAAGGCAGGTTACACAGCTAGATGGATCATCAGCCTGTTCTTCATGCTTTTTGGACTCATTTCCTAAAGCTATGACAGGCAGGTGGGCAGAAAACTCCCACACATGCTTTGGAAAGATAACTATTCCCCGAGATGAGCTGCAGCAGCAAAAAAAACAGTATTGCACCCTGGTTTCTCACATTAACAACCCTTATACATCAGCTTGTGTTGGTCGAGGAAAAGCAGTAAAGTGAGAATGGGCAGAAATATGAAACACAATAAATGCACACGGTGATACGGCTCATTTGACCCTGACAGGATAACTGGCCTTTTGGAGAGAAGAAATCCAAACACACAATGCAAATACAATACAAATCAATGCACAAATGAGATCTAATCAAACAAATTGAAAAATTCTTCTAAGTAAGAAGACTGTTCACTTAATTAAAAAAAAAACAAAAAACAAGCAACCAACTAGCAACATTCCCTTGTTGGCTTTGTACAGAGCATATATGGGATCTTTGAGCTCTATGCCTGACTTTGGACTCCTTAAACCTTAAAACCGGTTATGCTGGAGAGAAATGTCAGCTCCTGACCCTATGACTGCAGAGAACAGTGCAGCAGGAACAGGGCTAAATTAGCAGCTGGGTAATGGTGCCAGTGCAACCCTACCCACAGCCTACAGCAATGTGCTCCCCAGTGAGGTTAAGCAGCCAAGCAGAGCTCCATGCTACATCAGATGTGCTGTTTCTAGTGACTGACTCCACTTGTTCAAGGCTAAACTGGTTGCCTTACATAGCACTGAGTACATACATCCTAAAAAGACGTAAGACACGATCAGTTTTCATGCTTTGGAGCACAAAAGGATCCTCAGCTAGGGACCAGGGAGAGACTTTGTTCTGTTGTATACAACAAGTGATCTTAGGCAGGCTTCTAAAATACATCCAGAACAGGCCACTGTCGAAAATAAAGCAACAAAATGAAACATGTCTTACAGTGCTTGGCATCTAGCAGACTTAACGTTCAATTTTTTGAATGAAACACACAGCGATAGCATGGCACTTGCCCCAGGCCAGGCACATCTGGAAGATTTCAATGCAAGAAATAGCATCCTGAAAGCCGCCCTTGTCATTTCACCTGGATGAGGGAATCTTTCTCTCTTCCTAATCTCTTCTTGCTTTCTCCTAGCTATGCACGTTAATGGCTCAGAGCTATCCTGAGATGGACCAGCAGACCCACACCTTCATTTTCAACAAGTTCCCAGATGACAAATTCCCAACACAAACAACTACCAGTCCCAGACTACCCCATACCAGTGAATAAAACAGCTGGACAGAGGCTCAAACCATCAAGCAGTTGTCCATACAGCTTCCCTGCTCATGCACCATCTGATGGGGACTTAGTCTGTGCTGTAAGCACTCCTCAGGTGCCGCCTGAGCTCAGAGAGAGCACAAGCCAGGGACAGTCCCAGTTTGCACGTGGCCACCCTGCTCTAGTAGGTGCAAGGGTTTGGCTCTGCAACAGGACTGTGCCCAAGCCCTTCACCTCTGAGCCAAGAGAAGACTTCCTGACCTCTTTTATTTATTGCTTCTGTTGACATATCCCACGTGAACAACCTTGTATCTTGTGCTGTTAAGAATGATCCATCCTGAAGGTCATCCAGGTCTTCTTGTGTAAGGTCCTTCCCTATGATGAAAAAAAATTCACCAAATTTGGATAGTAAGCTTCTAGTTTTCATCTCAGCCTTACTAGCAGAGACCAGTCCCAGGACTAAGCTTCGGGAAGCCCCACTAGTTCCATCCCTCCACCCAACAGTC